CCGACGTAACCTGTTGCTCCAGTGACTAGAACACGAGCGCCTGCTTGAATTGATGAGACCATATTGTTATATGAAAGATTGTTTGCTTGATTGAATGTAGAACTTTTTCCTGGTGGAGGAGAAATAGGTTGTTTATATAATTGAAGCGAAATCGATGGTTTATTAATTTTGGCTGATCAAACAGTGGCCAACGTACCCCGTCTGAGATCAAACCACTAATATTCCATATATGGACGGCGGAAATGATACCATTGCTGACAATGCAAATCAGGGAATATTTTTACCGTTGCAAGCATTTTTCAGCATCAGTGAATTCAACGTGGCCTTAAATCAAGATTAAAAATCCTCTGATTCACCATCAAGTTCATTGAGTTGAAGAGAATTTCCCACCAAATGAACTGGAACGTCAAAATGGCATCGATTACTGAATGGAATTTGTAATCGAGATATTTGAAATCATTTCTTTGCCATCAACGTATTTTCATGTTGCGAGTCTAATTACTATAGAGTTGACGTCGACATAAAGGCTACGTGGAGGATTTTTTGGCCACTTGCCGTAAAGTCACCTCACCTCGATCCGGTTGCCTTCACTTGAATTAACGCATAAAAACCACTTGGCTGATGCTTGCAAATTACTAGCAACCAATTACACTAATCATATTGTGGAGAACTTTGCTTCAAGATGATTACGTATATGAAAATAAAGCTCCAGCAATTGTTCCGTATGTTGATTTGATCAATTCTCGTAACAGAGTACAGGCAGTCGAATGAGACTAACAGCTACTTGACTGAGAGTAGTATCCACAATGCGAAGATACATGGTGTTAGTAGATCATCATTGGGAGGTAAGCACGATAATAGCTTTAACCAAATGATATTGTATCGAGCTTCAAGGGATGGCGTAAGCGTGATTTAGGTCTATGTGCATAGCGAATAGCTCTAGTATTATTTCATGCAAAAAAGCTCAAAAGCAACATTTGATTCCAAAAGGCCATCCTGAAGTTTCAAAGATTATTGATGATAGGTTGCAATTTACATGAAACGCTTGTATGTGTAAGAAATTAATGCATGTTTATGTTTAACAAAGCTTTAGAAACTAAAGTTAATAAAGCTGCTTGACGCTATCGACGGTGTCCAAAACTGTAGTTTTGAAATCCTTATACTCGATTCCAA